GGTATCTGGAACACTAACTGTTCTTAACAGCATTTTATGGTCTTCAACACTGTCCAGGATTAAAAATAGTATTTATTTCTTAACTCTAATGACAAAATTAAAGACTAAGGTATGATTGAAAGAAATAAGTGCATAGTAGAAGACCAAAGGCTTAACTTTTATAAGATGGAGTTCAAGGTCTACATACAAAGCTAAGAGGCAACAAGAAAAGCAGCTTGTAGGGGGTACTGGGAAAATGAGGGAGGGGGACCTGACATTTTCCTGAGGGATGTGCTGCATGATGACACAAAGTGATTCATGAGAACCATGTTTTGAGCCTGAAATTAAACTGCTTCGGTGAAAGCAGGTTTAGGTTTTCTTCTGGAGAAAAAAATACACAGATTTATCCATTTTCACTGCCTTCCATCTAATCAATTTCTTGCTTTTTACTTAGATTGCACATTCCATTCAAAAGCTAGCAGCTATCAGCAGCCTTTTTTAAAGTAAGAGCAGAAAAAAAAAAACAAACCACTCTAGTGCATTAAATTGCATATACTTTCAGTTCATTATGAATTTACAGTACCCACTGAAATCATGCAGTATATTTCTTAGTGTCTGATCAACCATAAGGTAGCAAAATTGACCATCTTCATCTCGACAGAAGAAGTGCTTAATCAGATATAACTTTGGGGCAGCCAGACTATTAGAATTCTGTAACTACTAGTGAGTTTTGAAAGTGACAGCCTAAATAAAAGAAAAAAAAATAAATATTCTACTACTTAACAGAGCTATCCTACCACCACTGCTACTTAAGTGGCAACCTCCAAAAAGGATAGGCAAACAACTGAGGAAAGTAACACCTTGAAACACTACAGTTAAGATTCACTAGAAGATATTTGCCAGAATCCACAGTGAAATAAAAAAAGCAGGAAGCCTACTACAAAACACTGATGAAATTGTTAATACTTTGAAGGATAAATTGCTTTTAGACTCATCTGAAAGTGTTGGTTAAACTTGTTCACATTTGCTCTGCTATATTTTTGTAATAAGCAAGAAGTGAAGTACAACAGAAAATCTGTAGAGCGAAGCAGTTGGCACTGAGAGCCCAACATCTGCTACAGGTAGAACTGGTCCTGCAGACCAAGCAGCCACAAACAGTTGAAGGACATCTTCAAGGTCCATTTTTCGTAAAACGAATCTACTTCCTGCTCTCCAAAACCATTCCATGATGTAAACAACCACTGGAATTAGAGACTATCACAAGATTTGCTTCAAACATACACTCCTAATCCAAACAAAAACACTTGCATACATGTGCTCAGGAATAGAAAACAGGACATGAGCAACACCTGCACATGTTCATGCATGCAGAGGCATTATATTCTGGAGAACAGCAACTCAGAAAGGGTTAACCTGAACAGTGGTTTGAGACAGCTTCCTGATTACACTGTTTAATCACAGGTTATCAATACCTTGAAGAACAAAAAAGTCAAACACCGTGTCCTCTTAGGCAATAAGATAATAAGCATCCTTTGACCATACAGTCCAAGATACAAGGAAGACACTAGCAGCCTGCATGAACCACTGTTTCACTCAAAAAAATCTGTAGAAAAACTCAAAAAATTTAAAGTATTAAGTAAAAAGAACCCAAAGACCTTGTTAGGACCTGATATTCAAAGCAAATACCTCAATTCTAGTCTCCCTCTCTGTAAATCCTGCTGCGCAACCACAGAGCGATGATAATCTGTGCAGTATTCCCCAACACCTTGCCCTATTTTCAATTTTTTTAATCAATCACAATAGTATTAGAGTGAAAATAACAGGAAAATTAGAGATGTTTTTAAAATCTGACAAAGGAAAAAAACTTACATATAGGACTTCCAAGGGAGGTGAAAAAGTTTTCTTAAACCCTTTTTTTATTAATTTGCTAACAGAAAGTTCAGAGGTCTTTGGTTGTGACAAATTATTCATCTCTACCATTTTTCACAGCTCAAGAGCTAACATCCCACACAACTGATGAAACCATCTATTGTCAGTGCAGATAGCCAGTAACAGCCATTAGCAGGATTTTCAGCTCCCAAGTTAGATATGAGTGACGTTCTAAAGAATAATAATCTTTCCGTGTACTTGCACTGAAAACTGAATTTTCTTCCTAGTAGCAATAGTAAGAATGCCTGAATAGACAGTAACTGTCTTTAGTATTAGGCTGCCATCTAGTAGAAGAATGGAGTAAATGCAGAGAAATCTCAATTTGAACTGTGAACCTGCTTGATGGTCTGACATGCTATTGCACAAAGATACAAACACCGAAAGAAGTACAGTTCTTCAGCAGAAAAGGGAAAAGAAGTGGCAAAAAGCAGAGCTTGCTAGACGGTGGTTTATACACAGGCAGTTCTCCAGTACAATCCTATCCTATTCAGTTCACATCAAGTTTATCTAGTCAGGCAAGTCAACATGTATAGGCAGTATAGAGGTGGAGTGGTATTTTTGTGGTGGTGATATACTTGATCTTTTTTCAAGTTAATTAAAAAACCTGCATCTTAATTCACTCTTTCTGAAAGAAGATTCTTTTTCTGTGTGAGGTTTCATGCTATAAAATGCAGTGAAACAAATTAGGTTAGACTGAACCACAAAGACCTTCAAAGGTAGGGCCTAAAATTTTATACTGGAACTAAAGTCACACACACGAAAAAAAAAAAATCGCGTAAGCAACTTTCTGAAGTGTTATGTATTTATTCCTGCTTCTTGGAAACTATTCAGTTTCCAAGTTTCCATTCCAAACTGAATAGTTTCCAAGTAATTCAAAGCTGCAGTACATAGAATTTTATTCTTTCATCATTTAGCTGTCACTGGCTTTATTTTAGTTTCGTAGACTGTGATCCAATACATTTTACAACTATACAGCGCTTTGCCACAGTGTTTCATCCACTGATCACCTCTGATACACCGAGAAACACTCCTGAGGCGCCATCGTGTTGATGCCTATTTCACACAACGCAGACACTTTCCAGTTCAGTCACTAAATATTTTCTAGGAAATGTCTTAGCATACCACAGCCACAGAGATACCAGGGCTTTTGGAAGATGCTGAAGTGTTCTGTCCATATAGGAAGGAATGGTTTGTTTCTGGTTGGTGAGAAGAGAAAGTCAGGACTCTTGCTTTGTAAGATCCACTGGCAAAGAACCACTCTCTGCCTAGGATATTTTCAAGGCCATCTGCTTCCATCACAGCTGTCTCGAAGAAACTGGAAACCAGCAGAGGAAGGAAAATAGCATGACCACAAGTGGGAAAGAGCTGATAGCAGAGACCTGGGGAAGACAAAGGGAAGAAGTACAGAAATAGAACTCAACCACTGTTTCAAGACAGTCTCCACCAACGAAGGAGAAAAAACAGCCTTGCGCTTTTGAGAGGTATGAACATATTTTTCAGTACTTATCAGAGAAGGCACCAATCTAAATGTAAAAGTCGTTAGTTAAATTTTGTCACATCTAACAGTATTAACTTCAGTCGTCTGAAGATAACTTTAATGTCATGTA